AAATAAGAAAGGTTAAAAGATACTAAATCTTTATTAAATCATAAGTTAAAAATATAATCAAACTAAATTAATTTAAAAAAATTAAAATAATAAAAATTAAAATAATAAAAATTAAAATAAAAAAATTAAGTTCGTAACATCATCCTCTTTTTTTTAAGTAAAATATTTCCGATTATATATACTTTTCTATCATATTCATTTACATAATGTTTAAAAGACAAACTGAAATAATCTTGAACTTTATTTAATCTGAATAATAAATCTTTTTTTTATTCATTTTTCTTTAACTAATTTGAATATTACAACACCCTTCCACTTAGATTAGCCCCCACATTCTGCGAAAGACCAATAGTCGTGGTATGTATTCGATTACTTTTTCTCACCGGTAGATTCTGTTTCTTGCCTTCGTCTGGTATTGATTGCATGCTTTTAAACGATTCACGATTGCTAGTCAACGATTATCTATACCCCATCTTTTCTCCTGTTAAATTATTTTAATCTTTTGTGTTTCTAACGTTCTTCTCTTTTAACTAATGATAAGTGCTTTATCTCGGTCAACGATAGGCGATGCTTGATCTGCGATTAACGATTGTTTTCACGAATTCTTGTTTCTAAGATCATCGATTTTGTATCCTATTCTAAAGTTTTGATAAGCAATTGGCGATAATTTGTCAACGATTAACGATTGCATCCTGGTCTTGATTACTTGTTCTACCTAGTCGCTTGTCCAGATATCCACTTTGCCTTATGATCTCTTATACGATATGATTTCTTCTATCTTTTGATCCAAAATAAAAATCCGATCTCTAATTGAGCTCGATTGCGGCATAAATTTTCTAATGACGAAAAGCCGTTTCTCTTTATGAAGATTTTTTGGTTAATCAACAACCTGATATTTTGCTAAATATTATCAACTTAAATAACAGTCAACCGTATATCTTTAATAAAAATTTATAACGAAATTCTTTTAGCTACATCGATCACTTGTACGTATAACGATCTCTTGTGACGCATTCTTTTTAGCTAAACGACTAATTCTCCGAAATACGACCATTAATATTGATACCATTGTTTTATTGCTCTCATTCTTTGTCTTAGTGTCGATAGTCATCTCATACATCCCCTTCCCCCTTTATTTAGAATCTCTTTTCAGAGTTAATTAGACTGACTTTTGATCTTCTAAAGCCTGGATCAATCGCTGCAAGACACCACTGAACCAATATGGTATTGATATTTATATTGCTGAGGCTAGTGGGAGAGTTAATTAGACTGAATTGTTGAAATTGCCCTGTCGCCTCCACCCTCCAACATCATTGTAACATTTTGATGTTTTTAGAAGGATTGAGAGATTAAAATCGTTGTCAAATAAGAAAGGTTAAAAGATACTAAATCTTTATTAAATCATAAGTTAAAAATATAATCAAACTAAATTAATTTAAAAAAATTAAAATAATAAAAATTAAAATAATAAAAATTAAAATAAAAAATTAAGTTCGTAACATCATCCTCTTTTTTTTAAGTAAAATATTTCCGATTATATATACTTTTCTATCATATTCATTTACATAATGTTTAAAAGACAAACTGAAATAATCTTGAACTTGAAATCAATTTTTCCCAAATTAGTTTCAACTCATAGTTTCTCGCCCTCCATTTGGATAATTTTGGCTTCAATATTTTTTGGGACATAGATCATTTCTAATTAATATTTTGTGTTGATAAAAAATTTCCTGACCATCCAAGACTCTTAGAGCCCATTTAGAGAGTAATTATTATTACAATCAAATAATATATTACCTTATATTTGATACTCATATTTAAAAAAATTATTTTCCCCCCCCCCTTTCCAAGACCAAATCATACCCATCAAGACCAAGAATAAATGCTTTCAGTAAAATTATATTTAAATTAACTTTTATTTGTGATGCAAGAGAGGAAACTTGCCCCTAACGTCTATAAGAATATGAGAACGGTTTAGAATTTATGATGACACAAATAAAGTCTTTATTTTGGAAAATATAAATTGTATTTTTATTATATATATATTTGAATTTCTTTATAACCAAAAGAACATGTATATGAAAATATATTTATTTATTTAAGAAAAATATTAGTTTTTCATTTCCAATACATATATTAGATTTACAAAAATTAACTTTCTTTTTAACATAATTGAATATAAAACAAAATGTCCAAATTACATATCACGATCTACAAATTTTGCTTAACATTTAAATCTATATATTAAATTAGAGAGATAACAAAATTTAAGATGGAGAAGTAATTGAAATTCTTTTCTTTCTTTCTTTCTTTCTTTCTTTCTTTCTTTCTTTCTTTCTTTCTTTCTTTCTTTCTTTCTTTCTTCTTCTTTCTTTGATAGAGGGGAACGAGCTCGCTTGGCAGGAGAGAGAAATTAATTGTATACCTTTATAATGTAGTGAAGGAAGGAGGAAATAAATAAAATGGGAAAGAAAAATATTGCATTATTATAATATGTCTTGTTCATAACTTGTAATACAATTAAAGGGAAAGGGAATTAATGTATCTTTATATTATTTGTTGTAAAAAAAAATATATTCAAAGGAGGAAAAGTGGGAATAATTGAAATCTTTTTAATATTGTTGTTTCCTACTTTAGGAAACACAATCAATAAATTTGACAATTTTTATAATGAAGGGGGGAGGGGAATGAATGTATCTTTATATTATTGTTGTTTCCTACTTTTGATATCCGATACATTCAAAATGGGAATTAATGTATCTTTATATTATAGTTGTTTCCTCATTTTGGAATACAATCAAATCAATGATTACATTAAGAAGGGAAGGTGGAATCTTTATCATAATATTGTTTCCATTATTTAGGAAAATAATCAAGAAATACATTTCAAAAGGGGAATAAATGGGAAGGGAAATAATTTATTTTTGGAGCTATCATAAATGAGAAATTGAGATTATTTAAATGCTGCATGTCAATAATAAAATCATTCATAAAATTGATCTTATTTCGTGGCTTCAGATTATACGGTATCTGAACCATCTCTTGTTTTTTGAAAGTTGTTGTTGTCGGTCCCCTTCAAATCATATTTATTTTCTTTCCATAACGAATTGTTTTAACATTTCGCTCCGTCATCTCTTCTCCTTGAATCTTTCTCTGCACAGGTTTTATTATCAGTTATTTCCATCGATATTTGATCACAATATCATCAATAATGTTTAGATCCGTCGTATTTTCCTCTATCAATCTTACTTTAAGATTTTTATTTACGACAGTTAATCATGAATTGTTGAATTGTATCGCAATCTATTCTGTAATCAGCCCCGAACCATAGCTTTTATGTCGATCCAGATATTCTCTGGAAGAAGATTACACTCTGCCAGGTTTTGAATTAAACAATTCAAACAAACATGTAATTTTATCTTTTTCAACCTTTTTTTTTATATTAAATCTTTCATTTGTTGATACGATAAATTGTGTATATAAGCCTATTCAAGAAATTTTATTATTTTCTATGTAAAATATTTCATATATATACATATATTATATATATGAAAGAATTTAATTTTCTTTTTAAACATTTAACTTTTAAACTCAAAATTAATATAATATAATGTCCAATTATCAAGTCACAATTGAACAAAACACAATATAAAAATAACGTCTTAAACTGTGATACATAAACATTAAAATATCAATTGAAAATAAAATATTATTTTACAATTATATAACATCGAGCATTTAGAGTCTTTATTATAAATTTTTTAATCTCAATTTAAATTTATTTAATTGGAAATTTGAGCACTGAATGGGTGGCATAGACTTAATTTATTGTTATTCTCATCTTTTCTCTTTTCCAACTTATTAATCAACTTGTTTATATCCAGATTAAAATTTCTTAATAATAACTTGTTGGAATAGGCCTTTAATAAGTGGCAGAATATTATTTCGACGAATACCTGTCTTATTTATATAACTCATAAGATATTTGTTTTTAACCAATAATCTCATAATTGTATTCCGTTTTATTTGCATCTTCTCTCAAAATTCATAAGTTGCTAGCCTAAGACTGAGCTTCACAACAATCTAATGTGCTCTGGATAAATATCTTATCTTCACGTTATTACTTTCCCAACAAGTATTAATGGTAACAAACTTAGCTTGTCAGAAACAAATAGGAAACTCAGATTATTGTAATGTTTACCCCAATAGCCATGCCATAAGTGGAAAATTGGCCTCCCTGACAACTACATTTAAAATATAACATTTATTCATAAAAACCAAATTGAAACATCTGAGATTAAATAATTTCTTCTTTAAGGTATAACATACAAATATAAATATTGAAATATAATAACTGCCCATAGTGGCACAAAGGTGTGAACATCTATTAAAAAAATCTTGGAGTTTAAATATTATTTTTTCTGGCTAAAATATTGAGTTAGCCGTTTTTAAAATCGACTCAAAATGAGCCGTTTAACAACACTACTGATAATATCGTAAGCTAGAAATAAATAAAACCAAAAAATTATCGGCTGAAACAAGTGATAATAATAATAAATATATATATATTAAGTTTTGGATGACCTAGTGGGTTGTGATGTATGCTTGGAAACAAAAGGTATAGGGTTCAATCCTGGTAAGGAATGTAAAAATTTTTACGTTTTTCTTAGATGACTGATGTGAAAGACATATGGTATGATGAATTTCGGAGCTTAGAGATGACACTCCCACACACAGGCTTGGACGGCCGGAGGATACTTGCCCAAGAAACTTGATGAAAGATACAAACAAAATTATAAATGTGAAAGCTATAGCGTTCCATCGCGCAGGGTGTAGACCTCCATCTTGTGAAAAGTAAAATAAAGGTCAAAGCAAGGAAGACAAGGTTAGCAAGTTTTTGGTACACTTAAAGGTAAGACGAGAGAATTGATCAATGTTGAACAAGTGAAATGTTGATATAGCATGCTTACAAGAGACGAAATGGAAAGGTCAAGACTCTAATGATTGAAGGTGAGTATAAATTGTACTATAATAAAATTATTAGTAATAGTAACGGTGTCGGCATTATCCTCAGTCAAGATCTAGCTTCCTCAGTGGTAGAAGTTAACAGGATCTGATAGATAATGGAAATAACACTGCATTGGTCAATCAATACTACACATTCTTTCAGTATATACTCCTCAAACGGGTTGCAAAGAAGAAGAGAAAGATGACTTTAGAGCTATCCTTGATGTGGAAATCCCTAAGAATGACCTAGTCATATTAGGTGGAGACTTAAATGCGCATGTGGGAAAAGTAAGAGACAGCTACAAAAGGCATCATGGTGGTTTTGGATATGGGGAAGGAAATGAAGGAGAGCATGTACTGAAATTTGCGCAAGCCTTCGACCTTGCCTTAACCAACACCTACTTTAAGAAAAATGACAGTTTAATAGCATATGAGGTGTGGTACAAAAAAACCCAGATAGATTACATGCTTATCTCTCACAGAAGATTAAAAGATATAATAGACTGCAAAGTCATCCCCTGCGAAGATATTGCCGCACAACACAAGCTACTAGTCATGGATTTACATATCACAAATAAATCCACGCAAAACAAGATAAAACTTAAACCATGCATCAAATGGGGTAGATTAAAATGAGATGCCTTTGCTCAATGCAAACATTGAAACAATAGATTGAAAAAATGTGGACAGATCTTTCATCCAGATTAATATACACAGCCAAATCGACACTAGGCTTAACAAGAGGAGGCAACAAATCATACAAAGAAATATGGTGGTAGAATGAAGAGTACAAACCACTATACAGTAGAAAAAAGCCCTATATAAAATATGGTACAAATAAAAAAACCCAGATGTAAGACAAAATACAAAAAATCCAAGAGAATCTACAAAGGCGTTGGGTAGGGCCAAAACAATGTGATACGATGACATATACGAAGAACTACATACCAAAGAGGGGCAAAATAAAATATAGAGATTAGCCAAACAGCGAGAAAAGAATTCCAGGGATATAAACGGAGCTCCGAAAGTAATCAAAAATAAAGATAGGAAATTAATAATAAAGGAAAGGGAAATAATGAATAGATGGAAAGAATATTTTCAAGAGCTTCTCAACTTTAATCCCCCCATACTACATCTGGGTGAACACTCCCCATGTCAAAACCTTATACAACCAATAACAGAACAAGAAATAATCACATTCCTCATGCATATGAAAATCAACAAAGCTAGGAGTCCAGATGATATTCCAATAGAAAGCTTTAAAGCTCTAGAAGATGATGAAACACATTTGCTCACAAATCTATACAATAAAATATTGGGAAAAGAAGAGATTCCTCAAAATTATAGGCATAGATACCTAGTTACTCTTCAAAAATAAAAGGGATCCCGCACAATTTTCAAAATAACTAGGGGTAAAAAACTAGTGTCACACTCTTAAAGTCTACGAAAAAATAGTAGAAAAAAAGGTTAAGAGACATAGTCGAAATAGAAGACACTCAGTTTGGCTTTATGCATGGAAGACAACGACTTATGTAATCAATGCAATTAGGCAAATGAGCAAAAAATACAGGGAAAAGAATAAATAGCTATACATGGTGTTTCTCGATCTAGAAAAGGCTTTCGATAGAATCCCAAGATAACTTATCTATTGGGCGCTACGCCACAAAAGGGTTCCCGAAAAATATATAAGAATAATACAGGATATGTATATGGGCCATACAACAATGGTTTGTAGCACAACTGGTACTTCAACAGGCTTCACTAGCTGAAGGAGTTCATCAAAGGTTGGCTCTCAGCCCACTCCTATTCATAACAGTAATAGATGTGTTACAGTCTATAATACTGCAAACAGTTTCGTGGAATATATTTGCAGATGATATTGTGATACTTGCCGAATCAAAGGATGAAATGAAAGAAAGATTAGTGAGTTGGATAAATATCCTAGAAAAACACTAGAGGAAAGACATAGTATATGCTGATAGGAGATGAAACAAAGATAATTGATATAAATGAATGGCGGATATCGGCAATTGAAAGCTGCAAATATTTGGTAACCACTTTACAAACAAACGGCACAATAGAGAATGAGATAAAGAGTAAAATTAATCAAGGGTGGTTAAAGTGCGGATCTTTATCTGGAGTGCTCTTTGACAAAAGAATCCTACACAAATTGAAGGGTAAAATTTACAGTTCCATAGTAAAACCAACTATTACATATAGTTCTAATACATGGCCAACCAAAGTATCAGACGAGAGAAGTCTACAAATTATGGAGATGAGAATACTGAGAATGATTGCTGGGGTAACAAGAAAGGATAAGGTGCGAAATACAAGAATAATTGGAAGTTTAAAGGGTGCCCATTAAGACTAAGATAATGGTAAAAAGACTTAAATGGTATGGACACACAATGAGAAGGCCTATGAACTATATAGGGTTGAGAGTTTGTAAGTGATGGGTAAACGTAAAAGAGGAAGGTCAAAACTTCAATGGGGCCATAAAGTTAAAGGCAATATGAAGAAGTATAAATTAGATAAAAGAGATAGTATGAATAACATAAAGTGGAGGGAGATATTGAAGGAGCATACCACCAGAAAAGTTGAATAAAAAGAAAAAAAGAAAAAAATATATTAAGTTTAATAATACTATATATTTGTTTTAGCATGTTTTAAAAGTAGTGTTATTAAAAAACCCATCGATTTTAAAAAACGGCCCGATTAAGATTATAATCTAAAATAACATTATGTAAGCCTAAGGATCTTGCCCAAAGCTGGCAGAAGTGCTTGGAGAACTTATTTGCCAAATTTTGATGCTTACATAATATTATTTTAGAGACACTAATCGGGCTTTTTAACAAATCTGTTTTAAAGTCAGTATAATGCAATGATGATTACATGTTACAATTTGCTACTTATCTGTAGCAGAATTATCAAAATATGAGTATGAAATTTTTAATGATGGTGTAAAAAATTTGATTAGGACAAATAAATAAATCATAATTTCGCAAACTACTATTTTAATTATTAAAATTCTGTGGAAATAAATTTAGAATGAGCTTATTTGATAAACTAACCATAAACGAATGTGAACCCGTTACCACTTTCAAATGTTAGGTCGCCTTTATCAATTCACCATTGGTTCAATGCAAAATGATGCCCAAAAATAATATATAAATTAATTAATCAATATATATTCTAAATAATTGAGATATTTCATTTTGATATTCTTGATAAATGTAATCATCATGACGCTCAAAATTATAATGATTTAGTTTAAAAATTATATAGACACATAATTGATTCAAGCTGATATTTATAATTATGAATAGCAATATATTTGGAAATCAATATATTAATTTGTGTTTAGAAAATGTATCTGGAATTAAAGATTCTCTATTCACGCTTCAATTTACTAATCGCGATACTTACAAGGACTCTCATCAATACTAAATAAGTATCTTGAATATTGGTGATCAATTTTATCAAATATTTGGCGGATAAAATATATTTCATATGCTGATGACGTTTAATTTATTATCGACATAATAAGACATATTCATTAGATAAGTAATTAATTTATATAATCAATGTGTCTTTTCCTAAAATTCAATCTAATGGGCGGCGAAATAAGGAGAGCGGGCTTTTATTTTTCGAATAAATATTTTTGTAACATAATGCATATTTAATCGATATATGTCATTTTTTGGTTATTTCAATCTCTAGATTGAAGCCGCCCTTTGAGTTTAACTTGGAGCAGTGGCATAGCCACTAGTGGGAGGGAGTGATTGAGGATTGGAACCCTCTCCTCAGGCTAGAATCAACAAAAATGTATACGTTAAAAAGGTTCAAAAATTACTTTATATTCAAGTAAATAACTTAACTAATAGTATTTTTTAATAGGAAATTAGTTAAATATGATTCTGAACATTAAAATTATCGGTTATAAAGATATAAGATTAATATAGAATTTATATCAGTTAGCGTCAATGTGTTTTTTCCGACAATATGCTATTTTTTAAACTGAGCGCGTTTTTAAAAATGTAAAAATCTGATTTTATCGGAAGTGCATTTCGTCATTTTTGGAATATCTGCCTTACGAATTTCAGACAATTTTTTTTATAAACTTTTAAACTTAATAATATAATTTATATTCGATTTTCCATATATTTTTTATATATAAATTATAAATGGCTAAAGGGTTAATAGCAAAATGGTCTACGATTCATAAGATAGGTATTTCAAAACATGATAGAACATATTTTTGGTAATATCCAATTTTTAAGTCAAAAAATGATTTGAAAGTTGTAAAAATTACACATTGACGCTAACATATCTATTATTAGGTATAAAGTTTTTCTTTTATATTAAAGTTTTGATAATAATCTTCAAAATTGTATTTTATTTTTTTTAACGTATAAAAATATATAATAAAAATATCATGTAAACTATTTGTAAAATAATATCTATATAAAAACTGTAAAATAAAAAAAATAAATTAATATAATAAATTGTATGTTGGGTGGTAGGAGGTCAAGAAAGAGAGACGTGGATGCCAATGCAGTTCTGCATATATCAATAGATATGCGTTGTCTGAGATAGAAGCCTTCCTGTGGGTCACCAGTGATGGCGTGAATTTTTTTACCAAGGGATTTGAAGATGGTTAGAGCATGATTGCCAAAAAATAAGATATTATTGATACATGTTCTAATATATTTGCTATCTTATCGAAGATATGGTTCTATAAAGACTGAAATTAATTTTTTTTTATAATTTTGTATATTTCACAATTAAAATATTTTATTAAATTTCTTTTACTTAGTTAAAATAATATAATTTCTAAATTTATAATTATATAATTAAAAATAAAATTCTATAATTGACTTCCTAAAATGGAACCATAATTGTCTCTAAAAATTCGACCTAAATCTTAATCTATGGTATTTAGACGATGGGACCATCTGTGGCCCCTAAGCTAATGTACTTAGCGCCTTAAATCACCTGGAATCAATTCCCAAGCTATCGGCCTGGTATTCAACATAAATAAAACAGAATTATGCTTGTTAAACAATAAGCCACAAAAGTTGGAAGGCTACAAAATCATTGGATAGTTTAACCCTACTTGCGTCCCCCATTAGCCAATGCTACCAAATCTCAAGATTTCCTTCTTACATTTTTAAATGCTTTTACAGCATGGAGCACATTCTATGTCACCTACTGGCACACCAAAGTTTATTTTTAATATGCAAATGCTTTTTTATACCAAAAATTTTTCACATTTTCCGATCATCATCTTTTTCCAAAAACAACAAATTCATATCTATAATTCAAGATAAATTTAAAATTTTTCTAGAAAAAATTTTAAAATTAAATTTAAACTCATTCAATTGGTCACTTGCTCAGCTACCTTTTGGCGGTTTAGATTTTTTGTCACTCAATCTTATATCCTTATCATTCGTATCCAGATTATCAAACAATTCTATGATTTCTGGCTTCATATGCCCTACCGATAGTTTATTAGATGATGCTATTGACAAATGGAAGGCAAATATACCCATTAACACTGACTTACCATCAATAAACACACACAAATTTTTTTCACACCTTTAATCTGGAAATACCAAATAGATATATCAGTCAATCCACCTTTAGATTGCATTCAACTCCTTCAATTATCTGACAGACTTGGTGGTCATAAATGGTTAGAATCACTCCCTAGTCGTAACCTTGGTAATCTCTTATCAGATGAACAATTGAGAGTAACCATTGGTTTACGTCTAGGTTGTGACATTGTACAGCCTCATGCTTGCATCAAATGTAAATCAACCGTCGATTCAAAGGGTAGGCATGGCCTTAATTGTATATTTAGTCAAGGGCGACACCCACACAGCAGTAAACCATATAATAAATAGAGGCCTAACAGCTGACATTCCGAACAATTTTGAACAATCAAACTTATCTCAAGTAGATGGCTTAAGACCTGATGGTATGACAACCATACCTTGGGCCCTCGGTAACACTTATATAGGATTACACATGTGTCTCGTCATTCCTTACAAACATAAATTTCAATTTAATAACACATGCAGAAATTAAAAAGACTAACAAATACAAAAATAACAACATATTCACTCCTGTAGTGACCTCTATCAAGTGGCATTTTTCGCCTTCAACATTTATGTCTTTAAAATATCTGGGTAATAAAATATGTCTTTTCATAAATGAACCCAGAGAATTTCTTCTTATTCGACAAAAAATTCAAATAGAAATTTTTAGATACAACAATCAACGGTGTGGGAACATAAAGTGCATGAGACCTATTGCAATGCGTAATTCTTTGTTTGTTAGGAGGAGTCCTAAGTTTGAGCTGAGCAAAGCTTCTAACCATTCGTAACCCGATAAGGAAGATAAAAGTTGTGGAACTTGCAGTTGTTGAGGGGGAGAGAGATGATCAACAGTTAAGGATTCATCAACTAAAATGAGTGATAATAAATGTGAAAGAATTGAAGGGTATTCCTTAGACGCACCACTCGATATTAGATATTCAACGGAATGGCGTATTAAGGGAAGATCCCAGTCATAAAACAATAACATTAAAACAATCATAATGATAATGATTGGTTTATATTTTGTTATAATTCGCGCATACATTCTTTCTTCCTATTAAACAATTTATTAATATTCAGCCTAAATTCTCGTAATAATAACCTGCTGGTAGGCATATAATAGAACAATGAATTGTAGGATACAAAAAAGAAAAACATTAAAACATTTTTTGACCCTTCTTAAATAATTATTAGATTTTATTCGTAATTTCTTATCTCAAAATTTATGAGTTGATAGCCCCTTAGACCTTGTTTTGTTAAATAGCCTGATTTAGATCGATTTTTCAAACGGCTCGATTAAGATTTTTAGCTAAAATAATAACAAGAAAGCATCGAGATTTGGAAAATAGATGTCCAAACATTTATGTCAGTTATGAGCTATATCTTAAGGCTTAACTTAGACCACCTAACAACTATCCCACGAACTTGGAGAAATCTTTTATCTCTATTATATTTGCGTTATAACCTTCCCTACAATTATTACTGGTAACACATTTATCCTCTCCAAATATATTTACACCAATAGCCATTATATACTATCAATGAACAATTGACCCCTAGCACTCTTGATTAATAAAACATTTATAAAAAGAAGAATATTATTTTTAAGGTAAAACATACAAATAAAAATTTTGAAATATAAATACTACCCCTAATTTGGCTATTAACCCCTTTCCCCTTTCTCGTCCCATTTTAAATATCCAAATTAGTTTATCTACCATTTTCTTATTGAGAGTAATAACGTATCTAACTTTGATAAACAGAG